CGAATTTTCCCAGGGTAACGGCTTAGTACTCGAAGAAGCTCAGAACCTAATGTTTCCAAAATTTGAATTTAATTAAAATCGATGCGATAAGTTTATCGCTATCTTCGATGGCCCGAACACACCCATAACGCATATAGAACGTACAATCCCGGCGGTCAGGCGAAAAGGCCACATAACCATCCGCGCGGACGAATACCAGGAAGTCTTCGCTGGACCATCAACATTACGCCACCTATAAAGGCTACAACTAACAGGCTTTTCAGAAAATACAAATATATGTACACAGATATTACGATTTCAGGGATATCGCGGCCAAAACATACCATTCAAAGTCACGTTTCCGGCGATTTACTGCGCACTTACTTAGACTCTGGTCAGAATTAAACTCCGACCCGGAACCTTAAGATTTTCCCTTTGCTATAGCTTCATTATAAAGTAACTGTAGGCCTGGCGAAATGTCCCGAGCAAGTTGTCCCGAGTATGCAAATGAGAAGGCACAAACCTTGAGCTCGGCCATGGTGTTCTGGAAGAGTGCCTGACTGTTTCTCATCTCCTGGTCTCGGACCGGAGTTTCCTTCCGTATTTCGAGCAATTTGACACCCTCAGCCCGACGGGCTGTCATTTCTGTACTAAACGCGGGTCTGAATTTTTCACTCTTTTGGTGGAAACGGGTGCCGTGCCGCTTATCAATACACTTCATTGATATTTTCTGCGCCCAATTTATTTAGGGGTAAATAAGGCACATCAAAGTACATTTTGAAATAAGGGGTCATTTTTTTCGTCATTTTTAACCATGGCTGGATGGAAGAAACAAATTTTCCCAGGGTAACGGCCTAGTACTCGAAGAAGCTCAGAACCTAGTGTTTCCAAAATTTGAATTTAATCAAAATTGATCAAAAAGCCTTGGGATTGTAGTGTTTTTCGGCGCAGTGAAGTTGGACGGCCAGCGAAGCGTTTTTGGTATTAGTCCGCGAGCAAGGGTGATGCGGTTTGTCGCCTGATGACCCAAATAGCTGCGTTCTATGTGGAATTTCTAGGGGTTCGCGTCACCGGATTTTGTGAAAAACTTATCGCAACAACCTATATTTTTTTTCTGTTTTTCAGAAACAGAAAGTAGTAAGCTATTTCAGCATATAAGCCGTTAGCCTGGGAA